CCCAGCCTGTGCCGGGAAGGAGGCCGGAGCTTGATGGGGAGCTCTGAACTGGTGGACCCTGAGCAGCCTCCCAGGGAGAAGACCTTCAGGTGCTTGGAATGTGGGAAGAGCTTCAGGCTGAGCACCCACCTGCTCACACACCAGCACATCCACACTGGGGAACGGCCCTACACATGTGGGGAATGTGGGAAGAGCTTCAATGCCAACTCCAGCCTGATCCGACACCAGCGCATCCACACTGGGGAACGGCCCCACACATGTGGGGAATGCGGGAAGAACTTCAGTAACAGCTCCAACCTCTGCACCCACCAGCACATCCACACTGGTGAACGACCTTACAGGTGTGGGGAATGTGGGAAGAGGTTTCAGACCAGCTCCAGTCTCCTCCTGCACCAGCGGACGCACACGGATGAGAGGCCCTTCCGCTGCACCGACTGCGGGAAGGGCTTCAAGCGGAACTCCACCCTCATCACCCACCGGCGCATCCACACCGGGGAGAGGCCCTACAAGTGTGGGGAGTGTGGGAAGAGCTTAAGTGACAGCTCTGCCTTTACCAAACACCAAAGGACCCACCAGTAAGGGAAGCCCTACCAGTGCCCCGACTGAAGGAAGAGCTTCGGCCGCTGCTTCCACCCCGAATGAAGCCCCTGATGGTGAGGCGACCCCTGGAGTCCAGTGACTGTCAGTCCATCCCTTTCCATCAGAAAGGGCCAGTCCCCTGTCCCAGGGGCAGCTTCTTGCAACAGAACCCTTCTTGGGGGTTGTGTTGAGATTCCTGCCTTGGCTGGGGACCCCCCGAGGTCACTGCTGGAGGTTGAGAGAAGAGTGTTGGTCTGGGGGAGTTCCATCCATCTCTAATTAAGAATTCTTGCTTTTGTGTCAGCTTGAGTAGAATGGCTTCAACAATTGCTTTAGTGTAGAGCACTGTCCTATCTTATCCTGTACTCCTGGTAGTTTTAGTGTTTGTCTTGTGCAGTAAATAATTCTGATGAAGGTCTTTTGTCTTATCATTTGTAACCCTAAATAATTCATTGCTATTAACAGGTCTGATTTGCCATCATTAAAACCTGTGGGACAAACGTGTTTCAGTTACACCTCTGTAATTCCTTTAAACTTAAAATATTGGCAAGATTCAAGGCTGAGATTGGATCCAGGAGCCCCCAGCACCCCACAGTAAATTGGGAGCTCAGGGGAACCACCCTGTTTTTCAAAACCTGGTGCCCAAAGACCCCCATGGGACCTTTGGACCCACCACACTACCGCCCCCTTTTCCACCCTCTCCCTGTTCCTCTCACTTTTTCATGTTCCCCTCAATCTCCAGCCCCTTCCAGGATCATCCTGGGGGTCCCAACCCCCAC